CCTCCCCTTGAAAAACAAGAATTCAAAATAATACTCCATGTCAGTTAGTATGATAAATTTATTCAAGTACTGTAATTTTAGTTTGTCATTTAAAATTGATTATGGTGATTGATGATTGATGTTATCATGTTGGCACCAATAAAATACGCTATGCAGAATTTATAGAGCAATGCTAAAAATATACAATGGCTAAACAAGGTCCATTGAGAGAGATTACAAAATTGAGTTCTTTATTGAGTTCTAAATTAATAAGCCCCCCCTATAGAAAATCCCCCTCTGATAAGCCACCCCCCCCCAAAGTACCTGAAATAAATAAGCCCCCTGGGGGGCCTAGAGGAGTTACGGTAGGTATAGAGTGCATTTGCTATGCTTTTTAAGGATCAGCTCAAATGGCATAGTGTTGCAATCTTTTTCACCTTATAGTGGACATTTTAAAGCTTTGAGGTGCCATGTAGCATGCATCATTGTGTCATCGCAGCTATAACTTTCTGATCAGAATGTTATTCATCTATTTTACTGGCAGGTTGATGGATACTCAGTGTATCCAGGAGAAGACTCGACACCAGTGCTGCTCAACATACTATATTCAACGTTTCAGCTGCAAGATGCAGTTGAAATTCAGAAGCATCATTTTAGAAAGAACACAACAGTGGGAGAAATGAAGGTGTGTGGAGAATTATAGAATTTGATGAGTAAATGGTGGTTTCCATTATTCTCACACTAAGTTTACATTCAGGATCATGAGCGGCGGAGTAGAGGGGGAAGAGAATGGAAACAAAAAAGTTGGAGCTTCCTTACCCTCCCCCTCCCCTACGCTTCAGTGCGCAAAATATTGCTAACAATAGTGATATGCAAGACACGTGTTACAAATGAAGTTTTAAAATGCCTTGCTTCTTCTGATAATGATCTGTGATTCTTTTTGTCTCTAAAATGTTGAGTATATTTTCACAGATGTTTTGTCTCCTATGTCAGATTAAGTTGTGCGATTCTGTTGGTACAAATCATCAAGATTTGCGTCTAAGCTGGGTGAAGTCAAAAGGTATATACCAAAACGGAAGTAGCCAGTTCCAAGCATTCACTTAGTACAACGGAGTGAAATACGAAACGTCGTGACCGTTGCGGCTGAGCGAACACGCGGGAGGTTTGGGTCTAGTCGGGACCATCCTCATGTTTTGCCTCCTCCTCCTCTCTTATCGCGCCGTTTCTGCGCCGTTTACTGTGACGCTTTGTTTTATGAAATGAACGCTTGGAACAGGATAAATCTGAAGGTTTAACATTATGTAACATGTTGTCTGCAATTTGTGTTGGGTCCTTTTTGGTCTTCCATTAAAATCCTTAAATTCGTAGAACTGTCTGCAGTATTTTTGGTTGGCAAACTTAAAATAGATCTTTTTCTTTGTTCTCATATGCTCACTTACAACTTTATTCACAGGTAAAACCAAGCAAATAATCCCTTTAGATTCTGATCAGGTAAGTTTTTTAACTCCCCATTTCTTTCGTTACAGTCGCAAAAGTAGGTTACTAGCCAAATGGTATATGTTAGAATGTCCAAAACAGTTCTCCTGTTTTACTTTAGGATAGTAATACGCTGAACGAAATCGGTCTACAAGATGGCGACCAATTGGTGGTTAGAAAACATGATGGAGCGCAGTAAGCGTACTTTTTATCTATTTTATGTTCTTTTTCATTTTATGATCCCTTAATGGTTTGTTTTTTTTTTCGTACAATTTTCGCTATTTTCTGGTTTTTGTTTGTTATGTAGATCCAGTGAACAGAGTATGCCTCCATTAGCTTCTGAAGGAAAGGAGAAAGCTACCAGTCTGCTGTCCTTTGTGGTTGAGAATAGGTGTTTGGTGAGTTTTTTCAACGCTCGTTTTTTGAAAAGGAGAATTTAGTATTAGTGTTTAATAATCAAATTTACTTTTCAGATGCGAGAGTCTAAAGAACTGGTCGACAATGACAGTAGTAAAGGTTGGCCAGTTTTGTCCGTTAAGGTTCATAAAGGGCAGGTAAAGAACTATATTCTTTTCATCTCGATCGTTGTCATGCTTTGTGAAAAATTGTCCTATGACTTTGCCCAATCTGCAAAGGTATTCAGTTCTGTTTCTGAGCGTAATTGGCCGTGAAAAAATTCTTAGAGGAAAAACTTTTCAAATGACACCTTGTCCTGTGTATTTAAAATGTTCATTTTCCCTCTGTAATAGTGTGGTTGGGTACCAGTACTATCCCCTACCCACGTTCTCCCAGCATTCCGTCAGATTTCACAGACAGTTTGCCTGTGCCTTTTAATACTCCTGGGTGGGGACGGGGGAGGGGTGAGGCACTGTGACCAGGTCCAGCACGCTTACCGTTAGGCCACTGCGATCTCCCATTTGTTCTAATCTCTCCCTGCTGTGCTTTTTTTTTCTTTCTTTCTTTTTTTTTTTTCTGAAACAGACTGTTGGTGATCTCAAAGCCAAAGTTCTGGAACGTACAGACTGTAATGGTGTCTCAGGTTGTTCATAGTGTAGATATAAACGAGTTTGTTTTAAAAGTGATTTTCTTATTCCTCAAACTTAGTGAACAGATGATTCAGAAGCACTTTGTGCCGACGGTCTTTGATAGCGTTTGACTTAACCATCCAAAAGTAGTTTCACTTCTGAATTTCCACCTTGGTTTAGTACCGCCGATCTACTTGCAGCTTACTGTCCAATTTTTTGTTTTGTTCTTTTATTTTGTTTCTTGTTTATCTCAGAAAACGCATGTCGTCTACGGTCAGATGGCGATTATCAAGGTCTTAGTGCTCCATGTAAGTTATTGATCATTCTGAGCGGATGGGGACCTGGGTACCACATGCGCACTAATGCGCATTATGGTGTGTGCGTGATATAAAAATCAGGCACAATTTGGATGACAATTTGGAGTTTCTTTTAGCGAAGATAGTTGACTTTTTGCAAGAAAACTCTGGACATATCTTGATTTTAGGCCGTTCATGGCTCAAAAAGCTAAAAACTGTGCCGTTTAAGGGGAAATTAGGCCACTGACGCTGTTTAATTTTCGGGAGAGGAGAAAATCGTGAAGAAGTTTACGCTTTTTGCGCTCGATGAGGCCCTCTACGTGTATGCTGTTTAATGAAACATGTAAAACGGTTACGTCCGCAGCTGCGACTGTTAAAGAGACAATAGATCTTGGCCGTAAATCAAGAAATTCTTCAATATATACAGCCATGCATGGCTTAGTTGGTACAGAATTGACTTCTTATTTTTAAGTGAGCAAAAGCATTGCGTGAAACAGGTTTAAGACAAGAGTTTTCTCTGTTAAACTATGCTTTTCTTCTTTAACCATTAGTGTATGAACATGAAACTTTGGAGAAGTCTTCGCTCAATGAAGGTCAGCGGCTTGTATTGGAGCATGCGCCCCCTCTTCTTCAAGGGGAAATCATGATCCGTTACTTCATATGTTCCTCCACACATACCAGCAGGAAAGAAGAGGAACAAACTGTTCTTAAAACGTGCACCATTCGTAAGGTAATTCTCATCCATGAGTGAATGTTGAAATATCCAACATATTTAAAAAAAGCATTAAGAATCTTCTTGTTTCTAATTTCTTTTCTTAGTGTCTACAACTTTTGATGGAAAATTCTAACCTACAAGGTATCACTCAAACCACCACTAGATTATTGTGTTACTTTTTAAATTCCATGTTCTGGGCTTCAAACAGCTTTTGAGTTTCGCTTGATTTATCATGTTCCTGTGTAGAATGTGAGTCCATTGGTGATTACCCAAGCGTTACGCTTGCTAGCATATCGCTGACAGATTTGTTTGTTTCCTTCTGTTCGCTACTGTTGTAGGAGCGACCTGGCATTTAAGGAAAACTGACTGGATCGGTGAACCAACTGACGTGTTAGACAACGAGGTGCGAATTCTACCTTATCTAGGTTTATAGAAACTCACATTGAACTTGACTCAGATTCAGTTCATCTAAAAAAAGCCCGTAAATTCGTATGATAAATTCAATTGTGCTCGTGTCCTGCGCATTCTCATTGTTCACGCTGATGACGTGTGTGTACGCATTGAAGCGTACTAGAGAGAATTTCTCCTCGTACAACGTTTAAACTACCGAGTCAAGTTAACGAATAGATTCCATGTTGCCACGCGTTTGCACAGTCAAAGATCACACAGATGGCCTCAATATGTGTTTGGAACAGTATTTTGACGTCATCTATGATTTAGTACTGTACAGACCCATTTCAACTTGGAATTTATTTTTTTCTTGTGAGAAGGAAATAAATGTTGTTGATGTTGACGTTATATATGCGTATATCCTCTAATAGATCATAAGTATGAACCCATCAAAATGCGTTTGCAATTCAGCTTGTCATACATTAATCAACAAATCGACAGTGGTTTAGCGTGGTCTGTACTCTCATCGACAACGATATTTGTCCTCACAGTGGTCAAAATGTTGTGTACTCGCGAGGTGCATTTAAGAGTACAGACCGCGCTTACCCACGGTCGATCTGTTTTTGTTTTTGTTTTTTTTTTATCTCGATATCGACGTGAAACAATACTCAATAAGCTACAGTTCTTACACGTCGTTTATGCTCTCCGAAATTTCCGCGTGCTTGTTGTCTCAATGAAGGTACAGATGACACATGAGCCAATTATTTAACGCTTTGACCCCAAGAGTGACCAGCATCTAATTTCTCCTTACATTATCACCCCTGAATCAAACATCGAGGTGACGAGAATAAAGCAAATGATCACTAACTTAAGTAGCTCTCGATTGTTAAACAAAATCTCCCTATAAGCACCTGAGGAAATGTATAGAGAACAGTATGAAGAATATGCATACTGATGTTAGGGTATAAAAGGTTTAGTTAGTTAAGATAGTTAAGATGCTTTACTTCGAACTCCAACTTTCTTTACAGGACGAGACGCTGGAGAATGAAAATATTAAAAATGGCGACACTCTCATTGTTGAAGAGGGAAGGATTCCCCCAAAGGTTAAGATTAAAAGAAGTGTTGTACGTACTTTGCTGTCATTTGATATAGGTGGCAGTTCTTTTTGTGTCACAAATAATTTATTTGCTATCTGTTCCTGATAGGGGTTCATTCGTCTTAAGTTATGGCAAAAAATCAGTGGTAAGGCAAAAGGCCAACATCTTGGAGGGGTTTTAAACTGGATTACATCTGGTGTACAAGGTAAGATGGTCACCGTTAAATGAATTGATTCCTTCTTTGAAAATTAACGCTTTCAATTTTTCACACTCAGGTCTCTTTGGTTCGTCCGCAGAGGAGAAATTAGGTTATGATGGCAACGCAGAGGTAGTATTGTTTATTGCAAATTTTTCTGTTTGTTTCTGAATATCGTTGAGTAGAACCAATCCCCATGTCAGTACACACATTTTAGACAGTGTAACTTAAGGCAGACCGGTTAAGACGCAGGCAGACAGACCAACAGATAGGCCAGCCGACAGACAGACTCACAGCCTCACTCGCCCACAGACAAACAACCTGACTCACTGACCAGTTAACTAACAGAGGACAGAACCACTGACCGATCAGCTGACAGACAGATAGACAGACGGACTGGTCACCAGACAGAGAAAGGAAGAGAGACTGGCCAACAAACGGATAACTAGGCAGACTAGCCGACAGACCTGAGAAACTAAAAGACAAACCGACGGATGGACGAGTGAGTTGGTAGTTAACGAGGCAATTATTTTAATTGGCCCAGAACCTAGAACCCGTCAATTCAAAGGGACGACAACCAAGAACCGTTGTTACATGAAAAGTCTTATTTGATATTTATCAGGGTAGCGATTCATTGGAACCTTTGGGTGATGTGGAGATATCCAAGGAATCTTCGCTATATGATCTAAAGCTGCACATAAGTCTTATGTCACAGGTTGGTACTAAAGCCTTTCTCAGTTATTCAACAGATTTAATCTTAACTGTAAGCTTTCGTATCCATGCTTTGTTGTCATTATTTCTTGACAAAACCTGTTCTTTGCGTGTCAAACCTTATGAAAGTCAAACGTTAAGCTGTAGTAGGCCATAATACGAACAGAAATAACAGCCAAGTTAGCCTCCTCTGACCAATTTGCCTTGAATTTGCGAATAAAGTATCGGATCAAAGTCAGTCCCTTCCCTATTCCAAAATTAACCCTGATTTGTTGTAAGTTGACTGTTGTTGGGTTATAGGGAAGATGTGGGTGCGCAGTAGCTTAGATACTGACATTGTTCCAAAGTATCAGGCAATATGGTGATCCCTGAGGAATTAATAAAAAAAAGCTTTCTTGTATTTACGAAAATGGCAATTCAGGTGTCTCCTCTCCTCTCCTCATAATAAAATGATAATTAATAATAATAAAAATAATAATAAAATAATAAATAATAATAATAAATAATAATAATAATAATAATTAATAAAAGTAAAATGAATACCTTGAAACACTTTTAATGTTGTTCATCGTCTTCCTTTGCAGCTATCAGATCACGTGATCCCAACACCGTCATTTGTCAGACTTCAGGAAATCGTAGACAATCACGCAACACGAGTTCTTAGAGGAGAAAATCGAACTTTGAGGTTAAAAAATCTCTTCGCTTGTCATAATTACTTCGAAAGTAGTTCACAACGAGATGTAGTTTGTGTAGAAAACAAGCGCGATTCTTTGAACCAGTCAGATGCAAAAATTCAACCAATCGTGACTCTGTCACTCGCCTGCGCTTCAGACAGTTTCCTTGTTTTTACTTTGAATCCTCATTGGTTGCTCATGGTATTAATTTTTCCCGCGCTTCAGACAGTCTCCTTGTTTTTACTTTGATTCCTGATTGGTTCCTCGTGGTATTTTTCCGCGCTTCGGACAGTTTCCTTCTTTTTACTTTGATTGCTGATTGGTTCCTTGGAATATTTTCCCGCGCTTCAGACAGTTTCCTTGTTTTTACTTTGATTCCACATTGCTTCCTTGTGGTATTTTTCTTTGTGTTGATCAGTGACTGTTGCAATTACTTTGAATTACTTTGATTTTTTGGTTTTACGGCGCTCAATCGAAAGACTGCGCCGCATAAAATGTATACTGTTTCTACATGGCAAACCAGTATATTTACTATTTCAGGCAGCTAAAACTGACTTCATCTACGCAGCTGTCTGTGTGTGTTCTTCAAAATGAAGAGGATTTAAGGTTAGTTGGAAATATTTTACTTCATGGCCGGATTTTAAGGTGCGATTTGCTTGAGCAATTCATCATGCATGTAGGACCGATGTTACATTTTTGTCTGGCAGTCAATGTTACTGGATTGGTGGTGTAAGCAGTCCTCATTCTGTGAATTTTTTATTTAAGTGCTTCTGCGGTGCTGTTAAGGTTAAAGAAAAGAGTACCAGGAGAGAGGAATTACTATGGCGAACAAGAGGTAACTTAGCTGCCATGGTGCCACGATACTCCTACCTAGGCTCTCATTCGCCTTTTTTTCTTTTATTTATTTTTTTGTTTATTTCCCTATGGTTGTATTTGAAAACTCCGACCATTAGAACTCATCGTATACATTTTCCCGCGATTGGCATCATTTTCATGCACAGTGTTCTTTCCTCCAGTTTTCATTGGTTTATGCCTGTTGTGATTGGTCGTAGTCAATAGACGTTGCCATTGTTAAAAAATTTCACACTTGAGTTTTGGTGCCAATTTTCATCGATTCGCCGTTTAACGTCAGAGGCAACAGAAGCAATGGTTTCGGTTTTGATATTTAGTGCTGTATAAGTAATATTTTCTGTCTTGTCAGGTGATATTTGAGCCTTCAGGTGGCGCTTCTCCCGAGTCCTTACGTTACTTTTTGGGCAGAGTTTGGGATATTCCTCTTGAAAGACTTAACGTGGCCAAATATCTAAGAGGCAAATATGAATGGTTGGTTATTAAAGACACTGGTGTTACTCAGGTAATTAAACGTTTCAAGTTCATGTTTTCTGTATAACAGACATTACAACGTCTTCTCCGTCACACTACCTAAAAACGTTTAGGTATGTTAAATATGAAGGATATGAAAAGCCGGTCAGCGTTGATTGTTATTTTAGGAAATCCATATGGAGCTTTAAATTTACTAGAATTATTGCATTCTTTAGCGACAGAACAAGAAAAAGGGCGGAAAAAAGAAAATCAATCTGCGACAGTCTCCTTTTAATCTTCAAGATGGGGATGTTATTGGTGTCAAGGTACTGTTACTATTTAGGTCATACTGAAAAATTCAACCTCGTTCCCAGGGCCTTCTGTCATACACCTTGGGTCTTAAAAAGTTTTTCCCGCGTTATGACGACTCGTAATATCTTGTAGTGTTTGTATTATGTTGAAAAACTATAATAAAAGATCCTCCTTTAAGAGCACAATTATTTCTGAGTCCTTTAAACTTTACATAGAACAAATCGAACGCATTTTGCTAATCGTCAATCATTACCAGTTATTTCGGTAACTTTAGATACTGTTAACTTCACTTCAACTTTCTTTTTTGTAATCTTAAAGGATTGTCAATCCGATTCAGAAGACAGAGATGATTTCAGTACACTAGCAGATGATGAAGGAAAAGAAAAACTTAAAAGGGAAGAGGAGGAGAAAAAGAGGAGGTGAACAGCATTTTATTTCTTGACGTTTAGAGCTAATTTTAATTGAGTGTCGAAAGTAATCTTGGTTTGCACCGGTTTTGTTTTACTTCGCGCTGTGATTGGTCCAGAATACTCGTGCCACCCTCTCAACCAATCAGATAACAAAACGAAAACCAATCATGACCTGGCCGCCCGCGTTTTCTCGCGCTTTACGCATTTGGTTGATTTCACTTTGAGCTCTCATTGGCTCTTAAAGATATTTTCCTTCCTTCCGGTTGAACAATCCGATTACTTAAGTTTTGGTTTTACGACACTCAATCGATAAGCGCTCTATTCTGAAAGTTGAATATTAGCCATATTCAGTTTTGTTTCGTGTCTTTCAGGAGAAAAGATAAGGGAGCAAGGCGACCCGAGGTTCCGCTCTGCATTCGTGTGGATGACTTTAGATAGCATATCGACCGTACCTGTTAAACCGTTAAATTTCGAGCAGTGAAACTTTTATAAGGGTCGACCGAAGTAATCTGGGGTTGCTTTTGTTTTTTTTTACTTCGCTACATGGTTGGTCCAGAAACTCGTGTTACTTTCTCAACCACTCAGATACAAGACTAAAATCAATTGCGACTTGGTCACCTCCCTTTTCCCGCGCCATCACCAGTTTGTTTTTATGTCGAAAATTGAACGTTGAACTTTGACAAACGGGACAACGTTTTAAGGATTCAACAGGAGGGTCTCAATTTTTTTGGCAGTAATTTTCGCTCCAGTAGAGATTTTTGTAATGCGTAATTTAATTGCTGGCAAATGTGAGGCTATATTAACTTCTCTTTCAAACACCAAGGTAAAAAAAAAAAAAACATTTTATTTTAATTAAATAAATACCATATCAATTTTTCGCTGAATATACGGACTTGTAACAATAGCTAGGCTTTACTATGATCAGGATGTATATTGTAGTACAACACTGTCTATCAGAATTTTAATTAGGCTCATTAGTTTTTTATTCGAATTATTTCTCAAGGTGACATTCTATGATTTTGTCATATTCAAGATTAGAAATTTCCTCGTCACTATATTCAAGAAGACTTGTCAAAATTTCATTAGTATGTTGTCCTAACAGAGGAGGTGCTCTAGGGACCCCCTGACAGGTTTTTCCGTTGTACTCCACGGCGGGTCCTAAAAGAAAGATTAAAAGAGAAACACACGTGAAAATTCATGGGAAAATCTCAATAATTACTCGTCCAGAATATCGGATAAATCTATTATGCCGTTTTACCAACGAACACTCAAAATTAACTTGTTACTTGAGTGGTCAGCTAGTTGTTTTTAAGAATATATCAACAAAGTTGAAATGGTAAATTGGCCACCGTTACGATTATAAAAGCTGAAGTTTCGAACGTTAGCCCTTCGTCATTCGCTCCGACGAAGGGCTAACGCTCGAAACGTCAGCTTTTATAATCGTGACGGTGGCCAATTTACCATTTCAACTTTGTTGATATATTCAAATTATTTCGTTACCCCCACCGACGCAGCCCCAAACAGTTTCTTTAGAAACTATCAGCCTTTATTGCTTTTTAGCATTGTGTGGTCGCCCAAATAATCTCTGACGAGAAAATATGGAAAACGCTCGGCAACCTGGCACTCGAATCTTTCCAGCTGTGGGATGTTCCATCTCTTGAACCATACTTTTGTATTTCACCTGAAAAAAAAAAAGAATAAACATTTGACATTGTCACTTCTTTCATATGTATTACACACTTTTTACAACTCACCTAAAATCACGCATACCGTTTCGTTACTGTACCTGCGGATCTTCAAACACCGCCTTTATATTATTAATAGGTCCGCAAGGAATGCCGGACCCTTCAAACGCCTTGGCCCATCCCTTTGTTCCTCTTTGCTGAAAACTTTATAAAAGCAAATAACGTTTAATAATTGCCGAATTTCCAATTGAGTGATGAAGTTAATGCGGTATTACTCCATTTCACAAAACGACTTATCAGTCAGTCCGATGCAAAACCCAAACCAATCACAACTTGTTCACTTGCGTTTTCATGCGGCAGTTAATACGTAGACACAGAGTTTCCATTTTCTCCTGGTGTTATTAAATGACACTAAATTGAAGAGCACTCTAACATCATCAGTTGTATGACAACAATGGAACAATTTCAGCATCTGAGCAACTGCACACCTACTCAGCATTAACCCTAACTTGTTCTCAGTTGACTGTTGTTTGGTTAAGGGAGGCAGGCAATTGCTCAGATACCAACATTAATCCACAACAGTAATATTGACCACAATCTAGACATACATAGTTAACGCAGGTCATTAAGATCTTATGTTTCAAACACAAGACACAAGAATTCCCTCTACCAGCCCTTCCCCCACCCCCACCCCACAAAGTCTAGCACTAAAAAGTAAAACAAACATACCATTCTTTTAGTATAGGAAGCAATTTGTGACGATTTTTGACTCGGGCTGCATTTGTAGCATATGATGGGTCATCAGCCAAGTTATCTAAACCTAATAACTAAACCAACAAAAATCCAATCAGATTTTTCTTTTTGAATACCAATACAACTTTGTTATTAGTACAGAATTTTTTCTCAGGAAGCATCTGCATTTCAGAAAAGTGTTTTTTCTCAGGATGCTGGGCACTCTAGAGTCAGATCACTTACTTTCTTGTACTGAGCATTTTGTTTTTAAGTGATAAAAAAGTCGTAAAAAGTGACAGCAAAACATCTAAATAAACAAACAAAACAATCATCTTACTTTGCAAAGTTTTCTAAACAATCCATCATTTCCAGCTCCTACCAAGAAGTGTCCATCACAGGTTTTGAAAGCCTCACAGGAAAATAACGGGAAGGTCAATATTAATCAATTAGGGGAAGGGCTCATGAAGTCAGGACATGATGAGAGAGGACGGAGGGCTTAGACCAACACTCCTCAGTCCCCACCCTCCAAGTGCCTCTATTCTTACTATTGATGCTAATCAAAATATGTCTCGTCTTACAAAACAAAGCTAATGTAGAGCATATCTCACCCACCAACTTCTCTCATTCAACATTTGCTGAGTAAGAGCAGAGGCTTTTATTACCTTCTATAATTGCATGAAAAAAAAAAAAAAAAGCTCTCTGCATGTGATGCAGATTTTTTATCTCACCTGGTATGGAACAATACTGTGGTGAGCTGTTCCATAGCGTCCAGTCTCAAACCCAGCATTGAGATAACTTGTTCCAACGTGGCTAAGCATGGCTATCTACAGCATGGGCAGAAATATGATAAAGAAACTGTCAGTCACAAAGATTTATAAAACACACTTCTAGCACTTGTCAATGAGTACCTGTGATGCCAGCAAGGAGCAATCTATTTTCTGTCCCAATCCTGTTGTTTGTCTCTGTAGAAGTGCAGCCATAATGGCTCCATGTGCATACAACCCTGTAGTTATGTCTGTTACTGCAATGCCAACCTTACAAGGATCACTGTCCTAAAAACAATAGTAACAGTATATAAATTTTTTGTCACAATCAAGCCAAAATTTATTTAGCACTTTTTGCAATAATGAAAGAAAACAGTTATTATGCATTAAGTCTACAGCACAAGGAATTCACACTCAGCAACAAGTCTCTGCAAACAGCCACTCCATTTGGACTGGTTTAAAAAACAAGCCAGTGAGAGTTATCACAGACACAAGACACAGTGACCTGTCCAAGCCATAGTCAACTCCTGTGGAAGAAGGACATTTTATTGTTCTTTTTCTAACAATGAATGATAGTGATTTTCACAGAGTCTTCCTGCTTGGCATGAGATAACTTATTGCTACAATTTAACCCTGAAACAGCAACTTGTTTCTCAACATGTCTTTGCCTCGAGTCTCACATGACCAATGTTAGGGCATTCAAAGGTACCTCAGGGCCTGTTATGTGCATCAGTCCCCCAATACCCGAGACCATGACATCATATCCTGGCCTCTGATCATATGGTCCCCCAGGACCAAATCCTGTTATTGAACAATATATCAAGGATGGTATTGATGCCCTCAGCTGATCGTATCCTAAACCCACTTTGTCCAGTTTTCCAGGTAAGTAGTTTTCTACCAGAACGTCGCACTTCGAAGCAAGCTGTCAAGTAAATGGGGTTTCACATTAAATTTGTTCAATCTGATTGGTGAAAGGATAACTTGCTGTGTAGTCAAGTAATGCTGAAAATCTGCCTCTCATGCATAAGATTTATATACACTTGGGTGAAAGACAAAAAGGTTTAAAATGATGCACAGGGTGATTGCTGGAGCTACTGGGAGACCCTATAAGCTCCTCAGCCCAACTGATGATCAACAGAGACAAGTGAACAAGCAAGGAAAGTGAAAGCAGCAAGGGTCCAGTTAGAAGTGACAAAAGTTGGCCAGTCTCCCTCCTTTATTTTCTCACTTACTCCACCGTTTCTTCCATCCCAAGAAAGTGATTACTCAGAAAAGGCTGAGCAAGGAAAAACGATCACTATAAAAACGTTCAAAGTGTCAATCAACAAAATTAGAAGGATCTTTAGATTAAATCTTACTGAGCCTGAATCTGCATGAACTATTTGTCAATTGACTAAATGACTGTAAGTGGTTGAGCCTCTTTCTAAGTACCTTTCTAACAATTTCTGTACCTTTGGGATTCTTGATGTTTACAGCAATGCTCTGGAAAATTTCAACAAAAGAAATTATTGCAATTTGTGAAGGCAAGTGCAAGAATCAATTATGTTTTTCTCATGGAAAATGTTTGTCCAATAGACCAGCATTATCATATCCTTGGAAAGAGTGATGTGGGCAATTCAATGCATCCCTAAGAAACAATCTACATAAAATAAAAATTGTTTTAAGTTTATGAGCAACCCCATTCCTAGTTTATTATCTTATTTATTTTAACAGGTTGTTGTTACTAAGAAGTGAGATACCTGACGAATACCTTCTTGTTTCTATTTATAGAGAGGAAATACGTGCTTTCATTCTCACAAAATGGGGGAGCCCATGATCTTGTGTCATCTCCAGAGACTAAAACAAGAACATATCAATGTTTCAATAAAACGAAAAACTGAGATCTGGGCTTGGCAACCATGTACACATTCAAACACATGCATTCTTGTGGGTATCTAGAAAAATATAATATTGTTATACACCCACAGGGCTCAACAAACTTTTCAACTTACTAGCCAAGTGGCTAGTGACATCTTAGATGTTACGACAATTTCAGTTTCTTTACTAACCAAACTGGCTAGTGGAAATTGAAAACCACTAGCCAAACCTGAATTTCTATTAGTCTGTAGCTAGTGGGCTACCGTTAGTCTCGAGCCCTGACACACAGTATTGCTTTGAGCTTTCCTATTCAGCTTTAAATCAAGATTGACATAAGAATAACAAAAATGACTAAAGACTGGGGATACTAGCTAATAACTGGAGTTGAGTGAACCAATCAGAACACCAGAATGCCATACTGGCATTTGGAGTTGAAAATTTGATAAATGACATTACCTGGTTTTTCAATTTTTATTATTTCTGCTCCTAAATCCCCAAGGAGCATTGTTGTAAAAGGACCTGCAAGAATCCTAACCAAAAATAAACAATCACTTTAAATTTTCTTGTTGAACTTATTTATCAAGATGGCTCTCTCAATTGTATTTAACTGGAATGTGATGCGATAATTAAAAGAACCATATTTCAGTGCCTTATAATAAGTGAATGACATACCTTGTCATATCTAAAACTCTTACACCTGACAGTGGGCCAGTCATTATTGATCTCTCACCTGGAGAGAAAAGGAGGCCTGGGGATAAGTGCACCAGATTCTGGAGCAAAAGTTCTAGTTATATGACAAATGATGGTAGATACTGATCATCATTAATGAGATAATGATGATGACAATAACTTATGATGTCAATAAAGCCCTCCATACCCATCTATTGTCAGTAAGTGCAATGGCTGAGTTGATCTTCAATATAATTACAATGATGATGATGACAATGATGAAATGATGGTAAACAATGATGATGACGATTAAAATAGTTGGCCACAGTGAAGATAAGTAACAAATGATTAAGATATCGACTATGGTTGCCATAAATTGAATGGTGACAAATTTGACTTAACCACCCCCTGTTTACGCCACATTTTTGCGACTGCCACTCAAACCTTTGGTCTTCGGAAATTTATTAGAATCACTGATAATCTGTGATGTGTCTATCAATGATATGGCACTCTCTTTTGTAACATAAATAAGATACCTATAAAGTCAGTATGTATAGCTTACCAACTAATACTGCTCTCCTGCACACACATCTATCAGTTGGCAAGAGGAAGTGAAATAATTTATTAAAAGTCATAATACAAACAGATAGTTGCTGATTCGTTCATGTAATTGTACTCAAGTGCAAGTGCATCAAATATTTCCTTTTATTTGAGTATCCGCTGACTTGCGGCCTCGTACTACACTCTGAAAACAAAATGGCGACAGCAGATGTGATAACAACAATCATAAGAAGAAATAGGCCGGGAACCAAGGCTGCTGTAAGTTCTTAACTTAATTCTTACTGTTTTTGATAATTCAGATGACTGTATATGCCTTGCTTTGCATTTTACAGAAAGGTGCTGAATTGTGAGTTTACACAATATTGAATACCCGAGACATGGACGTTGCCACACAAGAGTTCTGTTTTGAAAAGCTTCTCATTTTTAGTACCTCGATGAATTATCATTTATGTAGGTTAGAATTATAGCCAAACTTATGCAAACTTTTTTCGTTCCTAATTTGCATAGCATGCCTGTGTCGCTTACCTTTTCATTTTATTCATCGTTTTTACCAAGGAGCTGCAGAGAGCTGCGGTGAGCTACATGAACCGTTAAGATCTGACCTAATTTCTGTGTTTTTGTGCCAGGACATGTATGGCTGGCCTGACGAGCCATTTGAGGAGATGGATAGTACGTTAGCAGTACAACAGGTACCAAAACATGGAAAGATGAGAAGCTGGATATCCCTATTCTTTGAGCCATATCTTTTGAAACATAGGGCATTTTAGAACATGTTTTATCATTAAAAGGGCGATCTTATGGTAAAATGTGGAGGCAGTGTGGTCTAGTGATTGGGGTGCTTAACTTGTAATCTCCAACATGCTACCCATGGGCTGGCCTCTTGTATTTATGTGGACTGTGTTTCTTTCCTTTGTGGAGAGCAATGAAAACTACAGAGTCAACAGTAAATTTTTCATGCCTCCAAAACCTTATTGTATTCATCATAGGGGGAGCAGGGTTTTTATTAGAAGCCGGGCCCCGGGTACCAGTGACCATCTACTTTCATTCAAGATAGAGCCAAGGAAGCGTACAAAAGCATTAACATATCAAAAATTTTAAACATGAAAATCTGCTTCAGCCTGTATAGGCACTGAGAATCTATCATTGGAATCCTGCTGTCTGGAACCTTCAATATTTCGAAACTCCTTGTAACTCAGACTGAAAGTAATTTTCTATTGAGGAAGAAGAGGAAACCTCCAAAGCCTTGGAGCTAACAGATTTGGCTGCTGAAGATTCTGATTACGGCTCTGACTTTAAGTGTTCATAAACTTAAAAAATATCTTCAGTTTCTCTTTGATAAGTTTGTAAGTTTGAGCCAAATTGTAACTTTAAGAAGGAAGGAGGCTCTAAATAACAACTGTATTGTTTTGATGTAGCCATAGCTGTGTACTAAAATAATCAAATTCTCCTACCATTCTTTTTTACTAAAACTAGATTAAGTATGCATCATTGCAAGAAAATGTCTTTTCCAGATAGCAGGAAAATGTGCTCCTGGGATTCTTAAGTTTTAAATATTTAACAGGGGAGCATGCCCCTGGACCCCCCTAGAAGTTCGGGCCTTCGGCTGTCAATTTTATTAGCCTAAGGGTACCTGCTTACTCACAAGGCAGCACCTTTCTACTTCAAAAGTTAATGAAAACTTTGAGGGAGTGGAGAAAAATTCAAAATATCCATGCAAAGAACCGCTGCCTGGTTAGCTCAATTGGGAGAGTGCCGGACTGCTGTGCGGGAGGTCGAGAGTTCAATACCGGCCGGACCAACACTCAGGGTCTTAAAATTAACTGAGAAGAATATGCTTCCTTTCTTTAACATCAAGAATTGGTTAGATATTCTAGTCTTCTCGGATAGGGACGAATAAATGGAGGTCCCGTCTCCTGCAGGGTTAGGGGCAGGAGACGTTAATTTCCCACGCACGAGATTACTGTGTGATGGATGTCCTCCCCTGGGGTGGGTTGGGTGGGTAACAGGACCCCCGTTGATACCAGTGTTTACTACACTGAAGGGGCTATCCTGTATAAATATAGATGTCTGTCTGTCTGTCTGTCTGTCCTTAAATAACTACTGCAAACCAGTACTGAAAAAGAAATTCTTGTACACCAAGAACAGACTCCTAATTAACTATGACAAACAGCAGTTTCTTCCTTCTTCCCGTACGTGGTTATATTAAGGCAAACAGGCATTTTGAACCCTTCACACCCTAACATCAGAATGCAAGTTCTCCATACTGTTCTCTATATATACTGCCTAATCCACTGATAAGGAGAATTTGTTTAATAATCAAGAGCTACTTTAGTTGGTGATCATTTTCTTTATTCTTGTGACCTTAATTGGTGATTCAGGGGTGATGTTGTAAAGAAAAATTAGATACTACTGACTAGTAGTCACTCTTATGGTCAAAGGGTTGAGTTCTTGAGAGAAAAACATTTAACCATCCTTTTATTATTGTGCTTAGTATATTCAGCAACAGATCCGAGCAGATTACACAAATATAGAGGCAATTTTAGAGTCACCTGAGGGCCAAGATGAAGGAGTATGGAAATATGAACATCTGAGGCAGTTTTGTATGGAACTTAATGGATTAGCTGTCAGACTTCAGGTAACTTCAGCCATGGAGACCTAAACTCTCCCTAAATGATCAGTACAATATCTGAGTTAAATGAGAATCAAAGAGAAAGTGTCACAGTTAAAAACTTGAAATTCCCCATATTCTTTTTTATAGAAAATTTTAAAAAATATAGTTGTAAGAGTAGAAAATTTGTTTGTTGATGGTCAGGTTTACATAGCCATAACTTGCTCCTCAAGTGGACCAAGAAACAAATGTCACCAATGAAAAAAAAGTTTGCTGACCCTTTTCACTGACTTTTGTTTATTTCAGTCTGACTGTACTCCCACAACTTGTACACAGATGACTGCCACAGAGCAGTGGATATTCCTATGTGCTGCACACAAAACCCCCAGAGAGGTATGACATTCTCAGAAACTACTGATGTCAGGTTGTTGCTACTTTTTTGTGATTGTTTCTTATAATTTTCTGAGTGAACTGGGAGAGTAAGATCGTGGACATTGACGTCAGTCCCATTGGTTAGGTTACAAATGGTCTAGATGATGCAATTGTTCATTAATTAACGAATTGACTGACTGATTGATTATTGATTGATAGACTGAGAGAATGATTGACTGACTAACTGACTCACTCCCTGATTGATTGATGCATTCATTGATTAATAACTGCATGATCCTCAACAGTGTCCAGCTATTGATTACACACGACATACTCTGGATGGTGCAGCATCTTTGCTGAACAGCAACAAGTACTTTCCAAGCAGGTATTGACATTTTCTTCTTCCCTTGTATTTATTATGCTTTTACCCTAGCAGAACAAGAGAAAGAGTTCTTTAATCTGTTTTTATTGAAGACAAACCCCCATTTTTGGAGCTCTGTCTCTCTTATGTACAGCAGGTTACTCAGGAAGCTACTCTTTATTTGCTTCGTATGGCCTGTTTCCCACTTGTTGTTCCATTTTTATTGTCTTATCAAAAGTGTTCCAAGAGCTCTATTTACTGAGTTTTAAAGAAATTGTTTGCCTCTGACTGTTGTTATTTTTGAAACAGACGCTTCGGCTAATGCTTAAGCCTTCATTAGTGATACGAAATACGAATATCGTTATCATACGCTATTTAAAGTTAAAAACGTGACGCGAAGCTTGCGCGCGTAACTATTTATTTGATGCTCGCGCGAGGTCTTGATGCTCGCGCGAGGTCTTGATGCTCGCGCGAGGTCTTGATGCTCGCGCGTGGTAGGAGGGTAGCAACACTCTTTATTTATGCCATGACAACCCAAGAGACAATCAGGCAGTGTAGGTGATAGGCTTAGGACCAGTTTCACAATAGTTAACGTGACCTTTTTTCTTTCTAGAGTAAGCATCAAGGAATCTTCTGTGGCTAAACTGGGATCAGTTTGCCGGCGTGTTTACCGGATATTTTCACATGCTTACTTTCACCATAGGAGCATTTACGATGAGTTTGAGGTAATCCATGTCTGTTGGTATTCACAAGTAAAACTAAGCGTTCTAATTTCGGGTCCCAAACCCCAAACTTCCCTCGTTTTAATCCCGCCACTACTATCGCTATCATTTACTTCTGTACTTTGCTCCGTTTTACTAATTGATCACCTGGAACTGGTTACTGAAAAGGCAATGTAAGTTTCCCAAGTTTCCTTGTTTCATATCCGCAGAACGAGACTCTCCTGTGCAAAAGGTTTACAACGTATGTTCTAAAGTACGATTTGATGGCAAAAGAGAACCTTATTGTACCCATGGATGAGACACAGTCACCTCCACTCCCACCCCCATCCCCTGAGGATTCCACAGATGAAACTGCAATGGACAGTGAAACGTGAATGATGAAACAAAAGTTTGAAAGCCATTGGAAATTAACTTAAGTCAGTGAAAATGGCGGTCTGAACTGCTTTTCACCTTAAACAGCTTTATTAACTCCTAAATGCTCCCCGCCACTGGGAAAGAAAAACCTTAACGCAGGCAAATGTTTGAAGGATATTGAGTTGGTTGAAGATTTTAGCAAGCAAAATCGTTCGCCATTGAAGGAAAATTGCAAAAGACCTATTATTTGTTGTAAACGGAACTTCCCATCAGTGATAGCTGCGCTACTCAAATAATTCTCTCTTTTTTCCTTTACTTGTTTGAGGTGTGTTAGACAGAGTTTTTATGTAACAGCCTTTTTAGGATCGAGATTTCGATTCTAACGACTTGTCATTAACTTTTATTAATTTTTCCCTTGAAGTGGGCCTTGACGTGTTTAAAATAACCCGTGAAGGTTTTTTGTTTTTTTAAACAGTGATTTTATTTGACTGTCTCGTCAATGTAATACAATGTGACAGTGAAATTTCTTACAAGATTTCTCATTAATAGCTTACAGCAACGGAATTTTTTTTCCACGAATTAATGCTCTTGAACACATTTCGTATTCTTAAGTTAGGTAAAAAAAAAATTAACTGAAGGATTTCCTCCTTGCCTTTTTCGGTATTTGCATTTAGATATTATTTTATCCTCAAATTATTAGGAAGGGAGAGTTACAATGAGGCTTTGACTCAGCGTCGCTATACTTTATCCAGCATGTTGTCATATATTTTTATCTATTTCTTTCTTAGAAAGACTTTTCTTTGTCAGTGAATAAGCAACGCCAGGGGAAACATCATCTTGATGAGAGAGGCTGGTTTGCTTCTTTTCTCCATTCTGCATTGTACTTTTCCTTTTCATTCTTTGCATGATTATTGCATAAAGACACATGGCGTCTGGCTATGAAAGCTGCGACTGCTCTCTTGTTTTAGTTCTTTTTGCAAATATCTGAGAGGAAACAATTCAGAGTATTAGTCAGGTTAGACGCTACAAGCAGTTTTTGATTGAGTGCCCATAATAATCCGGTAGTCCATTAGGTTTATCTCCCGTTGCCCTGTGATTGGCCCCCCAAAAAAAACGTCGTCCTCTCAACCAATGAGAACAACTAAACTAAATCCAATTGCGACCAATCGCAACTTGGTCTCCCGCGTTTTCGCGCGCTTTCGTAGTTTGTTTGATTTTGCTTTATCATCGTCGTCTTGTGGAATTTTCGTAGAATCTGATTTTCTCCCGCTATTACGTTAGTTTTTGGTTACTTCGCTCAAACGGAAAGCGGTCTCTTTCTGAAGGAGTGTCACAAGTTCACAGGATCAGACCTAGCTAACTCTCAGGAAAGGTAAACGTCATGTGCATTTTTGTTTGTTTGTTTGTTAGTTTTTTTGCTTTGTTTTGCCTCTATAGGAGGCACTTACAGAATAGGAGTATTAATTTACTATTGTCCATCTTAATACAGATTGAAGTCTTCGTACTTAGCTACCAAACACATTTACCAGAGCAAATTGCACAGAGACTGTCCGCCATTATATCTGCAGTTAGTAGACAACGTTACTTTTCTTGTATGTCCCAACCTGTAAACACTCTCTTACTACAGGATAGTGTCTCAAGGTATGAGGATTAAACCCTAGTAACAACTTCATCAAGAGCCCGTCGTGTAGATTTTGTCTTTTCCAAGAGATGCACTGATGTAGCTCTCAAAGGCCGGGAGCGCCCAGGCAACAGGAATGCAAAGTCACTATTTTCCAATTTACAACATTTCAAAGTCCAAATTCAGTAATCTAAGAGCAGTCGCTTTATTTAAGCGAAGTCTTTCGCGCGAGTAAAAAAAATCTGTCAAAAAAATTACAAAAGTTGATGTTAACACGCAGTGCGGAACTTTGGAATTAATGCTAATGCCCTGTGCGCCAACATTGATTTTTTCACTAACTTTTTTTACTCGAACAACATAATAGACTTTTGGTCTATTTGATATATATATATATATTATTGTACAGCGCTTTTGAATATTGACCAATAGTTAATGCGCTCTATAAATTTATTATTATTATTATTATTAATATTCACCGAAAAGGAGACACTGCTCGTAGTCTAATTAGCAACGCGAACGACTTGCTCTGAAAGGGTCTCTCTTATTAGATTACCATGATACTTTTTTCTCGTTTGGGTGCATTTAATTCATTGCCAGTATTGATCTCTGTTATGTTACGATGTGGGTTTCGAAAATTGGTTGTGGGATAGAAATAAATGCATGTAAGAAAGAAGTTGAATTACTGTAAAACAAATGTAAAATGCACCATGTACGAATTAATTCAAATTGAACTACTCAGTGGTAGTCTGCACAAGAAGGAAATTCAACACCATTTGCAGCTTTTAATATTTGTTTGCTCAGTTGAAAAGGCTTGTGAGACTTCGAATCATCATTGCCTCTTTCCCCTTCGGAAATTGCAATCATTAGACGTGAGGCGGGATGCTAGACTAGAAGATTCCTTACATCATCTCGGCTATTCTGTGTGCGCCGCTTATTCTTCACTGAGCTTTCTTTTCATCGAGAAGAAAGGTCATCGACATCAAACGCCTTACCACCACTGCATGTTTACCTTATTTTCAAAGTACTGACTTCATATCTCGATAAAACATGATAGCCGATTTTGTCTTGTTTGTCAATTTGTGTTTTCTCGCTTTTCTTACCTTGGAGATGCGATATAATTTTCTCCGTTGTTTCAAGTGGCAGTTGAGCCTTTTGCCACCAAGAATTTAAACTGCCCATCTAATTTCTTGTTGAACTTGAATTGTAAGGGATATCGCTACGCTATTTTCGAAAGTGCATCGTTTAGCCTGTAGCTCGAGTCCAGGCGTTTATTTTCTTAGTAAATTTAATGAAATAACACTAATTTCTTACCTGAGACGAAATGAGCACTCGCTGCAAACCCTCTAGACACTCAGCAAATCAAAGGCTTTTGGCAACATTTAGCGCTTAAAACGGTTTCAAAGAGAGGTAAATCAAGTAAGATAACTTGCCATTGGTCGTTTTAAGGTGTAATAAATAGAAGGATTTTGAATTGAAGTGGACCATCGTTTCCTTTTTTTGTACAATGAAAACAAAAGCATACTTGAGGAAGCTGCTCGTTGCTCAGACAACCCAAAACCCAACGTAGATAACGCATTTCCAAATGATTGAAAATAGAGGCGCAGCCAAGATGAGACATATTAAAATACAGTGAAAACGTTCTCTGGCCAAAAGTTTTGGAAAACATAAGCTTTCGGCTGTCGATCTACAGCCTTCCACGGATAAAACTTGAAATGTAAATTAGTAAAATATAGCCTATAAAAAGCGAGATAAAGGTGATAAGAAGAACAAAGTAAAAATATGGAAAGGGTGGCTATTGGATCGGCTTGGAGTTATTGTCCGCATTCTTGATAGCAGAGGTGTGCCAAGCCTCCAGAGTTTTTCTAATACGAAAAGAGCCTTTGTCGATAACTCGAGAATGATTGAAATCAATGCGATCATCAAATGAACATGCATGTTTCGAAGTGTTTGGCCCATTAGCACATGTCTTTACATTCCTAATGTGTTCTTTCTTGCGGGTTTCAAAGCAACGGCTGGTTTCACCGACATAACACCAGTTACAATCGGCACAGGGTATTTTATAAACCACATTGGGTTGGTGTTCAATAGGTGGTCTGAATTTAGGGGAACGGAATTCTTGTTGCATTTCCAAATGTTCACCAAAAATTTCTCGTGTTTTGACAACGGCTATGGTAGCTCCATGAAGATAGCAAAGACAGCTCCATGATGACAATGATACTTTTGGATCCGCAGTTCAAGCCAGTAACAATTTTAATAGTTTCCGTTTGCCTGTCGAGCCCTCTGAGGGTCTTCCCCTCTCCTCTCTTTCCCCTCCCCCCCGCCCTCTAGAAAATAAAAACGCCCAAATGCACTTGTTTTTACTTTACTTATTAAAGACAAGAAGACAATAACATGCTTACAAAACTGATAATGGTAACGAATTTGCCAGAACTCCCTGCGGGAATATGTCGCGACATCTCGGACCAGCGGCTGACCATCTAAAAAAAAAAAATCATGATTTTCTTAAACAGCTGGTGAGTATTTGTTGAAGTTAACTGAACATCAACTGTAAATAACAAAAACAAAAATTAGTAAATACATGAATAACTTGTGTACTATGAAAAATCTGATTGGTCATGGGCATACGGGCAATATGAAAAGTGCGTGAAGTTGAAATGATAACCCAATATCTGCGGCGGATATTGCATTTATCTAGCCTGCGTGTAGTCGTACCCCCGAGGGTATGGCTACTCGTAGGCTACACTTATCAAGTCGAGTTCAAAGTCTGTAGAATATCTACATTTAAAAAATGTAGAAATTCGATCTGAAAACAGTGGGCAAAGAAGAGCCACCCACTGGAATGTCCATTGCTTAATTATTTATTATTATTATTATTATTATTATTATTATTATTATTATTATTATTATTAAATGTATAATAAAACAATTATTGAATTCGGTTGTCGTGTAAGATCATGTCTGTATTATCTGCCTCGGCTTTCGGTCTCGTTAGTATCTGGTCGCAGTCCGTGGCGTTACGGGGCTGACTATTATGGGAAAATACCGCGACAACGCTGGCCCAAGCAACGGGATACTGTTGTGCAATTACTTTCGCAATACTGGGCTATTATTAGCCAGATGATGCAGCAAAAACTGAAACCGACAAGAGAGTCACATGACTGATCACATGAGCAAAATAAAGGAAATTCATTGGTCGTTGATTGTTACGGATTTGTCTTAAAGTATTGGCGTGGCGTAATGCTAACTACATTGGCCCGACGAAGGCGAGACTTAGAAGACGGAAACACGCTACTCAAGTCATTTGAAGGTAAATCTTCTCTTTCTTTTATGTTCTTTGGAAACATTAAATCTTTTACCCAAATAGAAGGGTTATAAATTTTTTTAATAAACATTGTAATTCGGGATACAAAGCTTGAAATGTCGTTTCGCTCGACTGGGTTGTCTCCTATGCTTACGAGCCAGTGTTGTTCCAATAGTGCTTAATTAAAATTCTATAGTTATTGTCCGTGAAATCTACGCCAGGGATGGACAGAGAAATCGCTCTTTTAAGACAAGTGGAGATTTGTTTCTTTGGCTCTTCGAAATCTATAGCCAGAGGAAAGCTGGTTTCCTACGAAATTTCTGGCATGGATTCCCTCAAACGCTCATTGCAAAATAGCTACTTCGATCTCGAACCTGATCATCAGAAAATGAGGTGATGAAATTTAGCGAAAATCGCTTTTTCGGTTGATCACATGAATACTATATAGCAGCGGAAGGCCAAGCACATTTCAAACTGTTACAGCTGTGTTTTTGTAGCCTTGCCTTAATGATTCGTGCCCGAATGTATTCACCAAAAGAATTGTTTTTTATTTCCTCGTCTGACTCGGAAACGTATGCTTTGACTTAATTTAAAGGTAAAGGTTTGCCTGCAACGTGTGCAAGATTTGAGAAAATTCTATGAATTGTAGTGTAAGTCTTCTCGACTGGATGAACTGGCCATCAATTAATTTCCAGAAACAAAATTCAATTTTGAGTGACTAATAAATAAATTTGTCCTCATAGGATCACCACATTGTCATATCAAATTCACAGAAATGTTAGGAGAAGTGTTTGGTAGATACCGGGTATAATTCATTTGGTGATCTGTGGAGTGAAAATATTAAATTATATATAGATTTGCTTAGGAGGTCCCTTAGAGGATTGTCTGTCCCAGCTGTTAAATTTTGCCATCCTTATAGGATATCATCATGGTGTCATATGGCTCAGAATCAGTCACTGAGAGCTGCCCAGCTTTCAAAGATGGCTGTCCTTATTCTACGATTACACAAGACCTTTTCATGGAAGAAATCAAGAAATGCCCTGAGTTCAAACAAGGATGCCCCTTTAAGAATTCAGACAATGTGAAGGACATCCTGAAAGAACTTTCCAAGATGCCAGAGATAAAACATCGCTCGGGATCGACACATGAACATCTACTTAACTTGCTGAAAGCCATCCACACTCGGTCTAAAAAGCTGGAAGAGAAGGTTGGAGAGTGTCCAGCATTCAAGACAGAGGAAGGCTGTCCTTTCAAAGAAGCCAGCAAGGAAGGAAAACCTTTGATAGAGCCACCAGCAGCTGTATTAGAAGGGTTAACTTCCTCTGATGTCAGTAAACTTAAGGAAAAGTGTCCTGCTTTCAAAGAAGGGTGTCCATTTGCCAACATGGATAATGATGCTCTTTTGGAAGAAATTAAGAAATGCCCAGAGTTTAAAGAAGGATGTGCCTTCAAGGATTCTAAAACGATTGAAGAAATCTACAGTAAGCTTTCGCAGATTCCAGGCAGCGACAAGGACTGCCACCATAAAGAAGGTCTGATGAAGACCATGAAAGTCATTCACAGTGTAAGCCACGAGAGAGCTGACAAGTGCCCAATTCTTCAGAAGGATGGTTGTCCATTTAAAGCTGTTGAGAGTGGAGGAAAGCCACTTTTCAGTCCAGTGGACTCTGTGTTGCCTTTGGAGTCAAAGTCAGAGGAACCTGCTACCCATTTTGTTAACCTCATGGATTTAAAAGAAACTTGCCCTGCATTTGCATCTGGATGTCCATTTGCAAAAGCTGGAGACAAACAGTTAGACAAAGAGCTGAAACAGTGTCCTGAATTCAAAGATGGCTGCCCTCATAAGGACAGTGAAACTATTGGAGATGTTTACAAAAAGCTTGCCAATCTTCCATCCTTCTCTGTGGAGGGATCACATGGTGCTAAGCTTGTAGAAATTTTTAAGCAGATACATGAAGTGTCCCACGGCTTGAAAGACGAAATGGGGGAGTGTCCCGTATTTGTGACAGCGGGAGGATGTCCATTCAAGACTGTCTGCAGTGATGGCAAACTACTGGTGGACAAGCTGGATGGTCAACGTTGGACAAAGATTTTTCAGAATGCAATTGATGACATCATAGAAGATGTGAATAAAGAAATTGAGGAAACAGAACCCTCTATTCATCTCTCAAAGGAGTTGAAGAAAGGCACCAAACCAATCCACCGAGAAGCAGAAAACATTCACTTTGTAAAGGAGTTTGCCAAAGGAAGAATTGAGAGACAGTGGTATAAAGAACTACTGGCTGATCTTTACTTTGTCTACAGGTAAGCTCTATAATTATCTGGGTTTTATTACCTTGTTGTATTTACTGCTACTACATTTGCTCATTACACTCCACTTTCCAACCCACCCTTCCTTCCCTCTTTTTTTCCTTTCTAGGATAGGAACATCAATGTGGGTTTGCTGTGACCCTCCCCCCTTCCCCCTTATTTCCATTCAAGGATAGGAACATCAATGTGGGTTTGCTGTGACCCTCCCTAATGCGATTCTGCAATGAAGATTAAATTTCTCTTTAGTTGCGTAGTACTGACTGCTGTGTATGGCAGCCATAGTTATTCCCATCTCAAAATGTAATTAGTAGTAGACTAGTATAAAATATAACAAACAGCAAAAATATGTTTCAATCCATCATGTGAAAGTGCAGTTCAAGACGGCAATATTGAGAGCTACTGATATGCATTATAGAGAGATACGGGTACTTTCTGAGCACAAACCTCTGCTACATGCTTTGGAGTCATAGCAAATTATTTAGCTGTTTGCGAGGGATGCTATCTTTAGAATTCTACTTACCATAGTTGACAAGTAACCCTAAGACTGAGTAACAATGCAGATTGTATCAGTGTTAATTGTCCAGTCCTCATTTATATTTCAGAGCACTTGAAGGAGAGAGTGAGAGACATAAAGATCATGACATGTTGAAAGCAGTGCATTTTCCTAAAGAACTTGGTCGTCTGCAGTCCTTGGAAGAAGATATGGAGTTTTATTTTGGAGAGGAATGGAAGGAGCAAGTTGAAATGTCTGCGGCTACAAAAGCCTACGTGGACAGAATCCATGAAGTAGCTGATAAGGACCCAGCTCTATTGATAGCTCATCATTACACCAGGTACCTAGGGGATTTGTCTGGTGGACAAATCTTACGCAAAATGGCCACTAAAGCTATGGATCTCCCAAGTACTGGAGAAGGAGTGCACTTCTATGTTTTTGATAACATTCCTGATGCTAAGAAGTTTAAGAACAAGTACAGATCCTGCCTTGATGAACTCAGCATTGACAAAGCCAAATCAGATGAGATTGTCAAAGAAGCAAATTATGTTTTCCTGCTCAACATCCATTTGTTTGAGGAGATAGATGCTCTGGCTGGATATGAGGATCAGGTGACCAAGAAGAAAAAGAAGCTGACATTTGAAGAGGTCTACAGCAGCATTGATACCAGTAAAGATCAGTCTCCTGGGATGTGTCCATTTGCAGCTATGGCCAAGAAACCTGCACAAGGAAACACAACAGCTCAAAGCAGTGATGGATGGAGCATTCATCCAGTGCTTCTGGCCATAATTATTGCAACTGCAGCCATTCTTGTAGGGCTGGTATTCACCAAAATAAAGTGAAACAGCACATTAATTAATGTGTTGTTTGTATGGAAAACAATGCTTTCAAAACAAATTTAAATGAAAATGACAAACAATATTTATCCTTGATTTAATTCAGAGTAGCAGTTATGATATAATAGTTATTATTTAATGAGAGTACAAGATCAAGGTGTTTGATTGGAGAACAAAAATGATCTTAATGAGGAATTAATGGTTAGTGTGTATCATAGAACTAGTTCTTTGTTTTTTGCTTTCAATTTCTAACTTTTGACAAACAAGGCTGACTTTTGGTGAAAGTGATTGAAGCATCAACTCTAGAAATAATTTTTGAATATGGCTGCTGGAACAGGACAATGTCCAAAAAAGTTATTTTGGTTAAAATAAGACAAGGTATGAGGCATTAGTAAAGAAACTGAATACTAACTTTTTTAATGAATACTTGAAGTAGTTGATCCTAAAGGGATTATCAGCTGTACTTCTGAAACTCTGGACAGTTGTGCTTCGTTGAGATAAGGACATTTTGATTCAGATTTCTTCTGCACAATGGTGATGCAGTATTACTTTTTCTACAATTTATAATTTATTTAGACTACTGGTATTTAGAGTGTTAACATCAGCTGTTCAATCGAATGATTTAATTGATATATTGACAAATTGATATATTTTCAGAAATATACATTGTTAGTTATTTTGGCATAAAAATGGTGCATTTTTCTTTCACTGCTGTTGCCTGCACACCCCATGAGAGTTTACAATATTTTGATACTGGTAATATTCTGGAATTATCGATGTCCTGATAACACAGCCTGAAAGGTTTATTAAGTGCAAAACATATCAGAGGTAGTGGAAAACTTCTAAATCACCAAAAAAAAGGTGTAGTCAAAGGAGTTAAGTGTTTTAACCCTGGATTAAAATAAATGAGCTCAACATCCCTACTATTTATCTTCTTAGCTGTGACAGATAGGATGACTCTCATTTACAGGAAATACGTCACACCATGAAAACAAGAAAGTGAGGAAACTCGAGTGTTGCCACGTTCAACAATTTCCATTCTGATGCAATGAATATATGAAGTTCATATATTTTGAACTGCGGTATTAAATACGTATGATGTACGATCCTTCGCAGTAGATAGCGCTATTTATGCAATAGCGAAAATCAGACCTGAAAAAAATCAGGCCTGTATGGGATTCGAACCACTGACCTCTGCGATACTAGTGCAGCGCTCTACCAATTGAGCTAACAAGCCAACTGGGAGCAGGCCGTTAAGTTGATTCGTAATAAACCCGTGATGATAAATCAGATACAATGAATATATGAAGTTCATATATTTTGAACTGCGGTATTA